GATGAGGGTTGCGACATGCTTTTGGACATTCCTGCTACCTGTCGGTTCATATTCTAATGAGTGGTTGATGGGACGCGCCTTGGACCATAGTTCAATCTGGTTGTATAGTCAGGAATGTAGTGTCCAGAGTCATATGATTGTGCACCTCTATATCACCCACGGTTGTATCAACCAAAACTCTGCCATTTGTTGGTAGTAAAGAGGACATTGTTCGTCAAGTAATGATGGTCGCTCCGTTCAGAGAAACAAGCGCTCAAGCACACGAACAAGTCGCGCAAAATGGTGGTACTCTTCATCGGTACTTAATTTGTCAAATCATCTACCCTGCAACTTCCCGAGTCGTAGGCTAAACGAACACGAACGACTCGCACTTCTTTTCATATCAACAGCCTGCTGATGGACCGCAGATGCGGCGGATGAATTGTAAGGAAGAACGCGCTGGTTAGTCGGAGAGTGGGGTATACGATATACAGCCTTCGCCTCTTGATGTCTTCGTGTAACGCTTTACATACAAATAATTGGATCCATATAACTCTGTCGGAAAAGGGGCAGAATAAGCTAGATACAGGAGTTTATGGAAACTACTTATACTAGCTACTCTAGGCTGTGCTCAATACTAATCTGGTCTCCAGATACCTCTCCAAGGCAAACATTGGCATGCCAAATATCTGTGTGGGTTGATCCTGTTGTGGGGGAAACCTGTAGTTGTCATGCCAAATATCCGGAGGGCCGAGGCTCATTGCCAGGGTGTGTTGTCCACATTGTGAGGGTCCATAGTGCCGCATAATGGTCTCTAAGGGCCCAAAATAACCCTGGGATACTGGCCTGACACACCCCACCAGAGGTGGGGTTGTTCATCCCCCCCAAACCTTGAATACTGACTCCCTGAGTCAGTGGGGCTCCAGGTGATGTAATGCATAGCTAGGAATGCAGCACAGCACTGCCAAATATTTAGTGAAGCAAGAGTGGTGTTATCAGGGACCAATTGTGAGACTCTCTGTGGTAAGACATTGGGCCACATATCAGGACACTGGTCAAACAGCAGCATCAAATATTCAGTAAGGAGGCATATTGGAAGGCATTGCTGCACATTTGGCACTAAAGGTGGCTGGTTGGTGCATGAAGACCCTAAGCAGTTGCTTGCAGTGCCACTTAAGTCCACAAGAGGGACCCTGACCATGTTTTTTGCATTGAGTTGTGCACTGCCTGAGACCCTGTTTGGCCGATTTGTTGCTTTGCAAGGCCTGGTGTGGTGTTTATCTGCACTGCCTAAGCTGAACTTCATTCCGGATATTGGCACTTAGCAGAGTGCTAGTGTATTTTTGTTTTCTGTTGAGGGGTGCCCTGTCAGGGCACCAGCTCATTGCTTGGTCAAGAGACATGACTAAGCCTTTATGACATGGAAGTAGCTGGTATACCTTGGCATGTGCTGGAACCTGCTGGAAGGATTGGATGGTCAGGTGACCTGCTGTGCATGGCTGTGCATGACCTCATATGACCTCATCCTTGGTCATATGACCTGATCACCTGACTAGGCTGAGTAAGCAAGATGTTCTAGCAGGTTCCACCACAGAGGTATAAATATAAGGCCTACTCTGCCCGGGACTGTCTCTTCAGACTTGGTCTCTTAGGATCATCCACAGGTACCTATACTGTA